AAGGGGAGCTGAATCATCATCCATTTTGAAGCTAACTTGTTGGTATTCGCTATTGGATTAGCACTGATTTCTTGACATATTTGTGGATCGATTCCGACCTAATTTTCAGAAATATGGGTGGTTGTGCTGCACCAAATTGTTCGAATCAGTCTAAAAATAACTTTAGGATGTTTCGTTTCCCTAGAAATGAAGAAAGACGAAGAAAATGGATAGTTAATTCTCGTCGAGATCAATGGATCCCGGGCCCAGGAGCGTATCTTTGTGAGGTAAGTTCAGCTTCGTATTTTTCCATAGAATGTTAGAAAAATTACTCTTCTTGGTACTTTAAAATATTATTTTCATTTAACTGTCACTTATTGACGATCAACTGATTTTATAAGTACAAAATCAACTGCGGAATGTGTATGTGTTTGTGCAGTAAAAATATCATGTTGTTTCTTTTGTTATCGTGAAAAGTTTATACCGTTTGTAAAATTTATATCATACATTTCATGTAAACTTTGTGCTCAGTTAGAAATGTGATGTGCCTTTTTCTTTCTTTAATTTTACTGTACGATTGGTGATTTAAAGTAGCATTCTATGTTTTGATTCTGATGTATTGTCGCCAAATCGGATAGTTGGCGCCAATGTTAAAAACTGGATGGTATGATCCAAATAATAAATGATTTTGTTTTTTCTTTATAGTAAGATAAATATATTCTGTATTTTTAGACATTTTTAAGAAGTTAAATATTAATTTAAATATTCGATGAATCGTTTTGATCCCATTATTATCCTTTATTGTAGTAGTAAATCTTAATGTTGTATTTTTAACTATAGGTACTTTAAATTTATTTTTAGTGTGTGAGCAGGAAATATGTTTTAAGTAGTTTTACAAACATGATTACTTTTTAAAAATTTTGTTCTATTTTCATAAAAAAAATTTAAATTTATCAGAAAATTACATTCTTAAATTATTATATATATATGTAACTGTAATTTAATACTAGTGCTTTTGATTTTAATGTTAAATTTCATGCATGCTTTTGTTAAATATGCAGGTACATTTTGAAGAAAATCAATTTGAATGCTCTAGGCAAGATGGGCGTAAAAAACTCAAGCCCAATGCTGTGCCAACTCTTTTCAATGTGCCTAATCCCCCACAACTGTTGACCCCACAGCGTCTAAAAGGCATTGGTTTTACCAAAGCACCGTTCAGTTACATCCAATTTTTGTAATGTATGTGTTTTTTATTTTTATGGTTTTTCATAAAAAAATATGTTTTTATTACAAATGGACTAAATTGCTTTATAAAAGAATCAAAATATTGAAATTAAGGCATTATGTGATAAAGCTGTAATTACAGTCCCTAAGATTAGATTAAAAAATTAAAATTTTGCTGTTGTTATATATATAATTAAGTATGTACTTTGTTATTATAATCATATATTGAAAATTAAGCATAAAACCTCAATTTGATGTAGTTTTTGGATAAAGTTTTTGTAGTTTTTCGAGGACGGTCATACATGGGTCTGGTTTCTTCAAATTTGCTCCTAAAAGAAAGAAACCGGTATCTGATTGCCTTTAAAGTCAAAAAAAATTTAAATCAAAATTTGTATTAAACTAAAGTTGCTTTTTTGCTTAATTTTAAATTCCAGATAAATAGAGAGAAATATGTATGTAAATAGAGAGAATAGTATAAGTAAAAGAAATAATATTGAAATTAATAACTTTAATCTTGAGTAATACAATAATATAGTTATAATACATTGATGATTTAAATGTATATTTTAATGTCTTATATGTCTTGTCTGAATGTTGTTATTTTTTGTTTAAAGATTTACAAAACTTATTAGGATTATTTATATTATTTATTATTAAAATTACATTAAGTATATTTTATTTATCAGCATTTTCAGGTATCCTTACTTATATGTGTTTCATAATTTTTGCATCTTCAGGGTGGGCTTGCTGCACAGTTTACCTTTATCAACTGAAGCGATTTCTGTTGCTGAACCATCTGTTGTAAGTCTTCATTTGAACAGTTATTAAATATTTAGTATTATAAACTTTTTCTAAAAAGTATTAACACTGTTTCTAAAATTTAAAAATATATTAACGTAATATTTACTTATGTTTAAGAAGTATGAATGCTATGAACAGTCCAATGTATTTATGCTTTTTTATAAGTTACTTTTAAAATGGTAATGATTATTTGTATTTATTTTTATCCGATCAGAGTTTATAATTTCTTTCACTTCCACATATTTCATATATTATAATTTCTTTTAGGTTCATTTGCCACAACCTTCAGCTTCATATTTTGGAGAAATAAATTTTGCTGCCGAAGTATCTGATGTAAATTGCCATTTTGCACTTCTAAAAAATTTTAATAGTTTTTTAACATCTATTCGTAAACTGTACTATGTTTTTTTAAATGTTTCCATCTTCATAATCATGCACTTTATTTCATTTCACCAGTGGTTGCAAATGTGTACATTACAGTACATCTCAGGTGTGTTTGCAACAACATTTAGCATTACCTTCTGATTAAATAACAGCTGCTAGTAAAGAATCTATTGCTATGTTTTCATTTGAGCAGCTATTAAATGTCATATGTTTTACATATATTAATGAATTTTTATACGATTTCTGAAATATGAAATTGTTTGTCTTATGGTTGCTAAACAGCTGTACTATATCTGGCTGTTGTGCTATGGAATTATTTTTGAATTTTGAGTGTTAACAATTTATTATCTATTTATGAATTATAAAATGTTATGTAAAAATAATTATTTCTTAAAATGAATGTAGTTTATATTATCTGTATTTCTAAATTTCTTATATATATATTTCAGGTTTGTTTGCAAGAACAAGCTTCAACTTCATCTTGTGATAAAATGCCATCTATTTGTGAAGGATCTCATGTAAGTAGATAATTAGTGTATTATTAACCAAACCAAATTGTGGTTTGAGAACTATGCATTCTCAGTAAAGAAGACCTCTTCCCCTCACATTTTGAAAATGAATTTTCTGCTGTGAGTTTTTTAATTAAAACAGGTGGATTGGAGAAGGCAGTAGCTTTTAAAAAGATAAGCCCTAATGCTTACAACAGCATGGTGGATAAGATTTATGTGCCAGTGGTTTCAAATGCTATCCTCTAGACATAGAAAGAACTCAATTTCTGTGACAAATAAAAGAAAAAAAAATGAGTTACTTTTTGAGTTTATTAATGTTGTACAGCTTGTAGAAATTGGTAAAGGGTGGAAATCATTACATACTGGTGTGATTCTCTCAACTTTATCAGCCATACAGTTAGCAGAGGCATGTTTTCTGAATGATTTCCAGTTTATTTTGACAAGCAGATTGACACAAGGATGCTCTAGAAAATTGTATTTCCTCAGATACGCAGAAAAGCTGGTTTGAGGCCAAGTGCTTTGCAAGCTGTGAAAGCATCTGTTAAAGCTTATCTGGTTTATCTCAGTTTATATCTGACATTAAGAACTCCAGTTATGCTACTGATTCAGATATTTATTTATTAAACTATGCGAAAGACGAATCTGAATTTGAATTTCTGAAGGAGAAAAAAAGCTTTAGAGCCTGTTCCCATACCAGAAGTTTCTGATGCTATCTCTACAGAATCTCACCCTTAAAGTGAGGAAAATAACGTCTGTTATTGTATTGCAGGAGCTGCAATAAATTCTGTTTTGAAAAAATGCTTGTAATTCATGCTTCACAGTTTCTCTTAGTTTGTGAGCAAAATACTCCTTTCCATTGATGAAAATAAGCAGTATATAATTAATTTTGCAAAAATTTAGGTGGGCTTAAATGTCCTTCTCCTGAAATTTTTAAATTGTCTGCCTTCTGTGTGAAAAAATAATTCAAAATTTTCGAGACGAAATAATACATGGAAATGTAACTATGGATGAGGAATTTAGTTAATATGATTTGTAAGAAGCAGGCAGGTGAGGTAAATATTCCTCTCCTGGGTTGCAATATCAAACAAAGATAATAAAATATTATTTGACTGCCTTGTGGAATTGGTCTCAAGAAGCTTCTTCAAAATAAAAAGCAGCAGGCGGCAAAGTTTTGCATCTCCTGCTTTTAAAAGGAAGAAAGTAAAAATTAGAATCTAATCAAGAGTTTAAGAAGTTTTTACTGTTCAGGTTCTGTCTGTAAAAAAGTAGAGTAGTTGTCACTGAAAAATTGCTTTGCTTGTCTCTTCGAATAATAGTTAAGGCCCACCAACAGCTGAATGGTTAAAGTTACTGAATGCTGGGAGTTCCATCTTCTGTTCTATTTCCAAACAGGCTGGCTGCATGATTGGTTTTTTTGTGGTTTTTCCCCATGTGTAATGTGAATACAAGCCAGTTCTCCTTAGAAAGTCCTCTACAATAGAAGATCTCATAGTCAGCTAAATCGGATTTACTTTTGTGTGACCTTAAATGAGGCATCAATTGTGAATCTGTTTTGGCATGTTATTAGGAATTTTGAAGGAAACATTTATTGCTGTTGTGAAAGAATGATCAACTGATGTTTACCTTACTAATCAATGTCTTATAGTATTGTAATGGCTTGCAGGATTTTTCATAATGTGATGTTGCATATGTTTTACTCTTCTTTGTTACCAAATAAATAGAGTATGTTCCTAATCCGACATTTCTTCTTTTGTACCAGGGTTATGTAGTATGATGTGATAATTTGGATTTGTTTATAGAATACATAACAGTATTTTTTGACATTCTAATAGAACCAGTGTATTTTATTTATTTACTTATTGCTTTAAAACAGATTTTGAATCAAGGCTTACTTCCCACCCCCTTTGAGTATGCACATCAAACATGTTTAAGCTATATTTATAATATATCAATGAGATATATATAAATGAAATAAGTCTCTTAGGTTAGCTCCTTAATGCAAAAAGAACTAAAGAAAAATTGATATACCTTGAAAACAAGAATTACTATCTGAATAGTGTTGGCTAAGATTTATTCAGATGGTTTTTTTTGCATTTATTCCAGACATCTCCACATATAAAGTGACAATTAATTGATTATATTCAAGTTTTAAAAGTAAAAAAATAATATAATATCATTCTATATAAAGCTGTTTGACTGAATAATGGAAAAAAATTCAATTACTGCAGTATGTTTTAATAAAATTTGAATATAATAGACTGAATTGCACTACATTAGATAAAAAAGCGAAAACATTTTCTATTTATTTATCTTATTTTCACTATATGTGTGTTTGTCATATGTTTGTTACTAGAGGACTTATTTTATAGATTTGAAGCTAAATAATATTATTTATGTTTTTACTTATGCAAATTAATTAATAAAAAGAACTGTGATTTAAGTATTGTCTTTACTGTGATATAGATTGAATCTTATTATGTTATGGAATTATCATTTAATATTCAGAATACGTGTAATATTAAGAGCATATGTATGTAAGTATAATTTTTCCAAGTGTAATAAAAAGTAACTATCAACAAACAAATAAACTTATAAGTAAATAGTATCTGTAAATTCTGTATGTAAAGGTATTATTTTTATTTTTATTTATTTCTGTGTGTATTATTTTAATATTGTTTTTTAACTAAATAAAGAAAAAAAATATATATATTTAATAGAATTTTTTTTACTCTATTAAATCTATGAATCCCACAGTCATCTGAGCATTGAAGTAATTTTTATAGCATTCTGCACTTCATTCTAAAAGCATTATAATTTAAAGGTGTATATCCTGAATCAGTATTTAAAATCATAAAGTGTTTAGCAGCTTTTTCTGGAAACACACACAAAATAACATTTTTAACAAATTTGCTACAGTAATAGACGTTTGATTCCATGTGAGCAAAATTCAAATAACATATTAAAAATAAAAAACAAGAATTAAAGATTAAATCTTGTCCTAAATTAATGGAGGTTGAGGGATTTCCCTCAACCATATTAAGAATGTGGTTGAGGGAAAGCTCTTGTCAAAAAATACATTTTGAGATGAATAACATTATGCGTGTATTTAAAAGAAAAAATTGAAAATTCAATAAAGGAATTCAAAAAGAAAGTATTTTTAACTAAAAATACAAATTTGAAATATGATATGTGAAAATGTTTTAGAAACTTTTAAAATAACTTGAATCTTACGAGAAATTTGGAAATTTAAAAAAAAAAAAAAAAAATACGAGAAAGAATCTGCACTTCAGACAAAAGAAGGGGAAAAAGCCAAAGCCACACATCTTTATAGGAGTGCAGAAAAAAGCTGAAATTCGGATTCAATAGAATGTTAAATTTTAGCGGACAGCGCTAAAGAGCCAAAGTTGCCGCTCCACACCTAAATTGCAACCCTAAAGCTTAGATTCAAAATGGCTGACGAGTCAGCCTGTATCTCTAGTAGCTCTAACCCTCGGTAGATCCAAAGAATCTCTAAGGAGAAGAATGAAAGCTTCCATAGACGCAATGTAAACCTGTTTCGCCTCTGCGCCGCTGTACCGAAGAGCCACGGCTATGCAGTGAAACACCAGCGCAGAGTGAAATTTAAACAGCGCACTTCGAGGGAGATAGTAAATTTTTTACTTTGAAATAACTCAAAATGCTTTATTTTCATACATTTTCTGGAGTTTATGAGCAAAAGGAATGTTAGTTGGAAATTTGGGGCGAATTATAGAAATCCTGTGCAATTTTTACTTTCATTTTAAACAGCAAGCCGTGTGAAGACCAAAATTTAAATGAAATAAATTTCTTAATTCTTTTCTTCTGTAAACTTAAAAAGGGGGGAAAACACATGCCATACAAAACGTAATAAAAATTTTTATGGATCCATAGTTAAAATTTTACAGTGAAGTTTTAAAAGCAAAAATTTGCAATAACTAACTGAAAACAGAAAAAAATATTTAAAGACAATTAAAGGCACCCCTAAATAAATTGAAAAACACTGAAATACATTATAATTATCCGACAACAACTTTAAAAAAAATTACCATGAAAACGTTTAGACAATTATTTGGAATGACCATTGTGAAAACCACGAGCAAAGTTTTCACCCAATAGCCAAAACCATTTCACTTACAGCATTACATTTAAAAAGTCTTTAAAAGAATTTCACATAGCTAAAACCAAGTACCTCTGACTACAACAACAAAGAACGTTTTCGAACAACGTGGTAAAAGATTGCTAACATGGCCGACGGCATGCTGCATTCTTTGATGTTTCTTTGTTGCCTCCTGGTGTTATTTCGCACATGCGCAGTGAGGTACGAAGGGTGGATGGCTTTGGAATGGTTTGCCCCTTTAAAGTAAGCTTCAGGGATATACATAATGTGTCTCTTCGGTCTGACGGAGCCACATTTGCCCCGGAGAACCTTTACTTCTTCTCCTTAGAGATTCTTTGGGTAGATCCCCCTCTCCGAGCGCCCAAGCGCCCTGTGGCCCCAAACCGGCCTTTTCTATCTACTGTGATGTGATCTTTCGAGAAAATTGTACGAGTATAAATTTTGAAAAAGCTATGATATTAAAAATTTTGAAAATGTTGGAAAAAGCTAGATTATAAAGTTACTATCATTAACTAACGAAGAAAATTTTTTTAATAAGAAAGGGTTCAAAGAAATCGAATTTACAATTGAATGAGCTTTATGATTAATTTCTGCAGATCCAAAGTCAGAAAATTATGATTAAGGATCCTGTTGCGATGAGCTATCAAAAATTTATTTATTTCTCCTTTTCGAACATACGATTCGTTCATGTTCCCTGGTGAACAACTCTCTTTCAGTTTGGTATATCACACCACTTTTACATGATATGCTAAACTTCCACAAGAATTAGAATCAGTGATGAGATCGTCAAGAATTTAACAATGGATTTTAGCGATAGGTGAGAAAATGACTTTAATGAATTGAATTCATGGAGAATCCGAGCAATTTAGTAATTGATAA